TTACCCACAGCTGAGTGGGTTCTGGTGGGGCAGAACCTGGACTCTTACCCATTCTTTACGCCGGCAGTGAGAGGTGAAGTCGTAAACGGGCACTTTGATGCTTTTTCCCTTCTTCAGCTTCCGGAGGACGGTGATCAGCAGCTCGAAGTCGAAGGCGTCGGGGTGGTCGAAGTTGTACTCGTTCTTGACGGCCAGCTCCTGCTCCTCTTTGTTCAACACCTGAGACGCAAACCAGCACACAAACACAAACGTCTTAACACAAAGGAAGTGACGCCATGCTGAGAGTCAGCCGGGATCAGGCAGAGGGCTGCTTTAAAACCCACTGAACTTCAGCCTGAACTCATCTGAATGCTGACGCCTTAATCAGCCGACCTTTGACCTCCTCACATTTCAACCCTGATAGAGTGACAACAGAAAAGAAGAAGTGTGCTCACAAACTGATTCTCAGAGCTTCCACAGGCTAACGCTGCAGAGAAATGCAGCAAAGAAGACGTACAGAGGAGAGAAAAATGTCTTAAACACGATTCAAGCTTTTGACTCTCAGGGAGAAATGGGGCTAAACGCAAAAGAGCAACAAGATCTGAGATTCCCTGCAGGGAAAAGGCGGTCGTTTTTAGTCGAGGCTCACCTTGTAGAAGGAGTCCATGGAGAGCAGGACCACCCAGGGCACGTCCAGAGCCTCGATGATCTTGTTGGCCACGGTGGTTTTCCCCGAGGCGCTTCCTCCGCACAGCCCTGCAGACAGAGCCCACAGGGACACCTGAGCAGCATCCAGCTTTGCCTGAACTGCTGCCAAACAGCCACAAAAATTGCCTTTTTTCTGTCATAATGAGAAGAAAATGCTCAATTTTTTGGATGTTTTCGACTTCTTTTCTCTTAAAAAAATAAAAATAAAGACATTTTTTCACTAAAACTCATTCAGGAGTTTAGTTATTTAAATCTTTTTTACCTGTGTTCCGTGCTTGCTTTTATCAATATGCATTCTGTTCTTATAATAACAGAAAGAGAAAAGTTGGACATATTTCACAATGCAGATTATCAGAATGCTGTTGGAGCTCTTGTCTTAGGCTTATGCTAGTAAATACCCAGGGTATACTAGCTCTTTAGTTTAAAAAATGCAGCTTTAGACCTTTTAAGTCATCTCAACGCTTTGGACTGAAGACCGCCTCCCAAAAACTAAAGAAAAGCAGCTAAAGGTGTTCAGCCCCGCCCGCCTCCTGGCTTTTACCACGGCGGATATCCTTTATGTAAACAGCACCGGGAGTTGTGCCAGAGCACGGGAACCAAACGCTCTGTGGAGGGACTTGTGTGACATAAACAACCTGGAATGGGTTTTTCTCCGATAAGAGCCATCTGCCTGTAAAAGTGCTGACTGGAAGACGGAGGGAAAAGATAAATAAAAACCCTGCAGTGCTGCCTTTTTCTGCTCGTTCAGACTCGGAATATGTGTATAAAAAGTGGAGATTTCTCTCTGATAAAGCTTTAGTGTCCCCCCCCCCGGGAGGGACGAGCGGCCGGATGAAACATATCAGAGCGCCTCTTCTATTAGCAATAAAAGCTGACGGCGCAGGAGATAGCAGCCGGCTCTGGTATCGGGGAGCTTTTACAATGTTTTCCCATCATCACCCCCCCCCCCCCCCCCCCCCAGACCCTTTCAGGCGTCTCACACCCCCCCTCAGCCTCTCTTTCCATCCGGGATACATCCTGACTGCAGGCTGTTCCCCAAAAAGCTTCTCCCTTTGTCTGGGGCACTTTGCCTGTTTAATCTATGGCCCTTGTGTATCCTTTAAGGTTTACCGAGTGCGTTTTGTGCCTAAATTTAAGTTTCAATAGCGTCTCTAAACTGTATGACATTTATTGCTTTGTGCAATAGCGCCAAAGCATTTACCAGATCTCTAAACGAGGCCCCAAAGCAGTGTGTCAGATGAAATAGTGGAAGTTTGTGCTTTGGTGAAGACACAAAGTTGTCGTTTTTTGCAGGTGAAAGCGCAGAAATGCTGTCGTTTTCCACCAAATGCAACCAAAGGTGTGTGTGGTGAGTTACAGCCCGACAGGCTAAAGCTGAGCCGCACAATGAGGCGTCACAGAGACTTTAGGGCAGTGTTTTTCAACCACTGTGCCTCAGCTAACTAGTGTGCCGCGAGTGATGGCCAGGTGTGCCGTAGAAAATCATCCTATTTCACCTAATTGGTCTAAGAAGATTTTTTGATAAGGAATTAATTATCTGCAAATAATGTACCATTTTTGAGTGTCTGTGCTGTTCTAGTGACTGGTGACGTAATCATGTAATAATTCCTTATGACTAGATTTTGTATTTAATTTTGCCTATTGAATTGGACATGTTAAGAGCAATTTGAAAGAAGAAATATAAAATATGATAAAAATACATTTTTGTGTTGATTTGATTCCTATTCAAGACACTTAAGGTAAGAATAAGAATAAAATAAGAATAACTACAGTGTCACTATAGGCGGCTACAGATTTGTTTGACATTTTTGGTTGGTGGTGTGCCTCGTGATTTTTTTCAATGAAAAAATGTACCTTGGCTCAAAAAAGGTTGAAAAACACTGCTTTTGGGGGCCGGCCGAGGTGCCTCACCTATGACAAAGGCCTCTTTGAAGGTGGTGCCGGTGACGTTGTACCAGGGCGGGCGGCCCGCCGTGTAGATGGTGCGCTTGTTGGTCCTCAGCAGCGGGGGCTCCGTCTTCGACTGGCTGGTGGTGCGCTTTCGGGGAGACAGCGACGGGGTCAGGGGGCAGCGGGTGAGGCCGTTGGAGAGCCCGTCCAGGGAGTCGTCCCCGCTCCCACTGAGGTGGAGGACATCAGAGAGCAGAAGGGCGACTCCGCTTTTACACACAAAACTACACCAGACACAAATTCGCTATAAACCCCGAAATGCCTCCTCTGGAAACACGTCGCTTCCTGAAACAGGACACAGAAGCAAAGTGGGATTCCCAGCAGGGGGGGGCTGTAATTGGCCCAACGTGAGACTGCTGCCATCAGAGATGCCTTGTTAGCTCATAGCCGGCCTCCCGCTGCTGCTCCAACGAGGCTTTTCAGTCTTTACTCTACATCTGCAGGCCTGAAAGGCAGATCTTTGAAGATGCCACCAAAAATCAAGCTTTTTCTGACCAAAAATAGCTTCTCCAATCTGCGACAAATGGGCAGAAAATGAAAAACCATGTTAATGCCTTTTCGCTGCTTTCTGACCGGCAGATATAGCTTTGTCCTGCAGGAGGGAAGAGAAAACATTGACTCTGATGTCTCTCTGAGCGTTCCTCTCCACAGTGAGGGGGTCTGCTGTCGGTGTGGCTGAGGGGGAGGGGGGGGGGCTCACCACCACTCCCCAGGAAATCACACCGCCGCCCAGGACGCAGCGCAACGCAAAGTGGGGCCAACATTCACATGAGTAAGGCTGTCATCACGCGGCAGGAAAGCTCTAAGAAAATCTATTAAAGCAAAACATTTCTACGTTGTTTTGTTTTTTTGGTTGTTCCTCGTTTTCCAAATAAAAACAAATGTTGAGCTGATGTAACTGAACTGAGTTACTTTGACCTGGATGATGCGGCAGAATGAACTTTATCTCGGAGATTGGTCCAAATCAGTGTTATGTAATACACATACAGTGGGGCAAAAAAGTATTTAGTCAGCCACCAATTGTGCAAGTTCTCCCACTTAAAAAGATGACAGATGCCTCCCATTTTCATCATAAGTCAACCTCAAATATGAGAGACAAAATGAGGAGAAAAAATCCAGAAGATCATCTTGTCTGATTTTTTAAGAATTTATTTGCAAATTATGGTGGAAAATAAGTATTTGGTCAAAAACAAAAGTCCGTATCAATACTTTGTTATATACCCTTTGTTGGCAATGACAGAGGTCAAACGTTTTCTATAAGTCTTCACCAGGTTCTCACATACAGTTGCTGGTATTTTGGCCCATTCCTCCATGCAGATCTCTTCTAGAGCAGTGATGTTTTGGGGCTGTCGTTGGGCAACACGGACTTTCAACTCCCTCCAAAGATTTTCTATAGGGTTTAGATCTGGAGACTGGCTAGGCCACTCCAGGACCTTGAAATGCTTTTTACGAAGCCACTCCTTTGTTGCCTGGGCAGTGTGTTTGGGATCATTGTCATGCTGAAAGACCCAGCCACGTTTCATCTTCAGTGCCCTTGCTGATGGAAGGAGGTTTTCACTCAAAATATCACGATACATGGCCCCATTCATTCTCTCCTTCACACGAATCAATCGTCCTGGTCCCTTTGCAGAAAAACAGCCCCAAAGCATGACGTTTCCACCCCCATGCTTCACAGTAGGTATGGTGTTCTTTGGATGCAACTCCGCATTCTTCTTCCTCCAAACACGACGAGTTGCGTTTTTACCAAAAAGTTCTATTTTGGTTTCATCTGACCATAGGACATTCTCCCAATCCTCCTCTGGATCATCCAAATGTTCTCTAGCAAACTTCTGACGGGGCTGGAGATGGACTGGTTTAAGCCGGGGGACACGTCTGGCACTGCAGGATTTGAGTCCCTGGCGGCGTAGTGTGTTTCTGATGGTAGGCTTTGTTATCTTGGTCCCAGCTCTCAGCAGGTCATTCACTAGGTCCCCCCGTGTGGTTCTGGGATTCTTGCTCACCGTTCTTGTGATCATTTTGACCCCACGGGGTGAGATCTTGCGTGGAGCCCCAGATCGAGGGAGATTATCAGTGGTCTTGTAGGTCTTCCATTTTCTAATAATTGCTCCCACTGTTGATTTCTTCACACCTAACTGCTTACTGATTAGAGATTCAGTCTTCCCAGCCCGGTGCAGGTCTACAACTTTGTTTCTGGTGTCCTTCGACAGCTCTTTGGTCTTGGCCATAGTGGAGTTTGGAGTGTGACTGTTTAAGGTTGTGGAAAGGGGTCTTTTATACTGATAACGAGTTAAAACAGGTGCCATTAATACAGGTAACGAGTGGAGGACAGAGTAGCCTCTTAAAGAAGAAGTTACAGGTCTGTGAGAGCCAGAAATCTTGCTTGTTTGTAGGTGACCAAATACTTATTTTCCACCATAATTTGCAAATAAATTCTTAAAAAATCAGACAATATGATCTTCTGGATTTTTTCTCCTCATTTTGTCTCTCATAGTTCAGGTTGACTTATGATGAAAATGACAGGCATCTGTCATCTTTTTAAGTGGGAGAACTTGCACAATTGGTGGCTGACTAAATACTTTTTTGCCCCACTGTATACAGTATTGTGCACATTTTACATCACAAATCTTTTTAAGTGGCACTCTGGACTTTTCTGAAGCTCTTTAGAATTCTTTATTTGGACATTTGCTGCTTTTTTATTCATTTTGAGTTCGGTGTTTGTGCTATCAATATCAGAAATCCCTTTCTGTCTGTCAGCCAAGTTACACTGACCTCTGAATCACTTCAGGATAAAAACGGCATCAGGTCAGTGAAGGATCATGTATTCGTTTTAACAAAGAGCCTGTTTAAATTGCATCTTTAGGCATTTAGAAACATTGAGCCCGGAGCTTCCCATGACTGAAGCGGTGTGGGATCATCTGACAGAACGAAGCCAAAAGGCAGCAGCAACGTCCAGAGAAGAGCTAAAGAGACTCCATTATCAGTGACCTCGCTTCATTTCTTCTTTTTAAGCTCTTTTATCACATTAACATTTAGCTAACGGTCAAGCCAGCCCATAAAGTTTGGCTAAATACCCAGAAATCTATCTGTAAAGCAAGCATTACAGACAACAGTTTGAGTTCCAATTACCAACACTAACTCCATACAGAGATGCTTTTAATAACGTAGGATTAAAAGTACTAATTCGGTTATGTATTTTTTTTTTAAATGAAAATAAATACAAATAAAAAAGGGGAGAAATGATCAATGTGAGTAGCTTCTTGAAATAGCAGCCAGATTTAAAAGGAAAGTGGAATTGAGTGCAGGGTGCCTGTAGCTGTAGAAATTCTGTCATCCATCCCCAAACACCCCCCCCCCCC